CCTGATGTCGAAACATTGTTTGTCTTCTTTATTATAATGATATTTCAAAATTACACCCGTAAACAGCATGGTCGCCTTTTGTTATTCTTATTTGCCTATATGATACATTTTTCGCGCCAAAATGAACCATTCTAGTTAGCTTTTGCAATGCAAGATCATGGGAAAATTGTCATTTTAGCCGCTAAGAAGGTACTTTGTTATGATTCATTATGAAATGGGGGTGGAGGTGGATGGCCAAATGGTTATCGTGTACGCGTTGTATCGTAAAGTCTGTCATTGAGTCAACTGGCGAGGTTTGGATTCTCCGGATGTACGTGACAAGGAGTAGGGTCTCTTGTCCAATTTTGTGGGTTTTTTCCGGGTCCTCTGGTTTCCTCCCACTGCTAAAGACCCCTACGCGCAAGCGAATTTTTGAAATAAAATTGAAACATATGTTATTCCCGAAATGACCTAGTTTGTGTCGAGTGGAGGTTAAACTCCATTTCTCTCTGTCTCTCTCATTATGAAAAAAAGAGTTAACTTATGTTTATTAATAGCTAATAACAGTGAGCGCTTCGGATGGATATATTTTTCTTATTTTTATAGCCTACGGAATATTTTTTTGTCCAGTGAATGGAAAGGTATTAAAATATTGTGTGCCTGGTGAGAATACATCGCCAATTCTTATGACGGGAAATAGTTACAGATGAAAATTATCGTGTAGTGAATATATATATAATCTTTGACTAATTTTAACATCTTGTCAACCACCATAAAGGGGATCAAAGTGTTAATATTAAGGAAATCACTTAGATTAAGAAAGTCAATCACTATGACTCGAAAATTGCTTACTATTTTTTCAATTTTTAATTAAAATGGTTAAAACTTAATGACCTACCTGGAATTGTCACCCCATTACTTTGTTCGTCAAGCCTTAACGCCTATAAGTTCGATAAAATCCTTTATTATCCTGTAAATTTCACATTTTTCGACATAATCAATTTCTCAGAACATAAACATTACCACTGCGTCTGCGTAAGTTGGGTCGCTCGTATATCATGTAGGGGTATAAGGTATTCCACAAATAGGGTGCATTCGGTTAATAATATTTGTGCGGGAGGATTCGCCCGTTTGTTTTGCGTCAGTGTGAGAGTGTGTGTGTGTGTGCGTGGGTGTGTGTGTTTAGGTTTATTCAGTTACCGGTATTTTAATATTCCTTAGAGATATTCATAGTATTGCATGTCTCCTAAAATATTCCTCACAGAACACTTATTTTCAGCATTAGATGGCATGGTAACCTTTCTGATAAAGTATAAATTTGTACAATATCTTATAATTTTTTGGACTTAAATAGTTTTGGTCAACGGTATCTATTTTTATTTATATTCGCGTTTCACAGGCACACAAGATTTATTTCAGATATTGATGTAGAATAGATAGAAAAAACGAATTGTAGAAAATATAATCCCTTGAGTGATGGATCATTCTTTCATCACATGCATTTGCAAGTGCACGATGGTGTGTGTATATAACATGTGTATAAAAATGTGGTTCTCAACCTACCTTGGAACGTATGAAAACTTAGTGGCACACCTGGCTAAATACATATGAAAAATATTTGAATTTTGCAAAATAAAAACATGGTAAGTGAGACGGCATACAACATAGACACAGACTAGTCATAGTGTGCCGTTTAAAATTCAGCTGCACACTTAGGAAATCTTTGGTATCATTGGTATATAAGAAGGTGGAGACTGGATAAGTGATTATTGTTATTTACAATTTCAAGATGAAGATTACGCAAGATGTGAACCAATGTATCAATCATTTATTTACTTATTTTGAGAAACAGAGTAAAATGAATTATAGACGATATAAAAGTTCCCCAAAAAAGAGATTGCCTACACATTGAATAGGGGGGTGGGTGGCTGAATGGTTAGCGTATGCGCGCTGTATCATAAAGTCTGCAGGAAAATAAAAAAAAGCAAGGTTAACAAATGTTCAACAAAATTAGATAATTTTGACCTGATGACAATAAGAGAGACCATCCATAAACTACACGGCAATGGCCAGTATGTAAGTGCAGTTCATTTAAATATGTTTCATCATTGCTATTCGACTTTTACATATATGTCATGTTCTGCATTACATAACCTTGATTTAATAATTGTTTATATAGTCAAGATTAGTAATAGTTATGCCCTCAATACAGTAAATATTTTTTTGAATTTTGAATACAATTCACAAAATCTTGATGTCCAATAAGTCATTTTCCAGAGGATATGACAGCATATATGGGTAAACCCTATCAATATATAGTGTTCCACAACCTTCCATCACCTTTCTGAAAACCTTTTTAACGTGATAGAGGTTATTGTTTTTATAATGGATTTTTATACGCCCACATTTTCATGTGGACATATATTTTCGTCGCCACTGTGTGTTTGTGTGTCCGTCCGTTCACATTTGTTTGTGGACACTCTACGGGTCACAATTTTTATTCAATTTTGACGAAACTTGAAATATAGGTCTATCTTCCAAAGATCTTGGTTCCTTACGATATTGGCATGTATCACTATCAGACCATAACTTCATGGATTATGGCCCCTGATTGTATGAAAAATCATGTTTTTAGTTTGTGGATGCTCTAGAGGTCATAATTTTCATCTGATTGTGATGAAACTTGAAATGCATGTTTATAACCCAAAGATCTTGGTTCTTTTCGATATCTTCTCATATCAGATCGTAACTTCTTGTACGAAAAATCGCGTTTTTAGCTTGTGGTCCCTCTAGAGGTCACAATTTTTTTCCGATTTAAAAGAAATGTGTGAACATATCACTGTTACACCCTAATGATGGTTCCTTTTGATATTTGCACATATCGGACCTTCACTTCCTGGATTATGTGGACGTACATGTATATTGCCGTCACCCCTGTCTGTGTGTGTGTGCGTGTGTGTGTGTCACCTTTCCCCAGCATAGCCTCAGTCTCGTGCTTTATCCTACACATAATTTACATGAAATGTAGAGTTAGGTGTATGTTATTCACAGAGTTATTGCTGTTGAACTTGAAATATTAAAATCGCTCTACAGGTCTAAGTTTCTTAAGAAATTTTTTATACAGGTCTGAGGTTTAACTAATAATGAGTATGAATTGTATTGAAATTGATTTTTTTTCAGAGTTATTACCCATTCCATTGAAACTTTTTAATCACTTTATATAGCACAATCTAGGTGATGCCAACAGGTTAATTGAATACCTGTATAGGTATTTACTTTAACAGGGGTGAAATTTCTAATTGTCCCCCGCCTTTCGAAGAAAGCAGGGGACTATTAAAATGGGTTCGTCGGTCTCTCCGTCCGTCCGTCTGTCCATCACACTTTTTGGGACACAATAACTCTCCTTCTAATTGAACTAGAATGTTCAAACTTGGTGTGGGTGTTTATTAGGTCAATGCCTTGATGGAGTTCGAAGAGGAGCATTTTCTAATTAAGTTCTAATTAAGTGAGAGTGATGAAACTTGGTGATAGTTTCATTACATCAATACCTTGACTAAGTTCGATAATGAGTATTTTCTGCTCGGGGAAATCAGAGCAATAACCAATTTGATTGGCCGAGACTTTGGAACACAATAACTCTCTTTCGAATTGACGTAGAATGTTCCAACTTGGTGTAGGTGTTTATTAGGTTAATGCCTTGATCAAGTTTGATGATAAACATTATCTGCTTACGATAAGCAGAGGTAAGCAATCTGATTGGTTGATGCTTTGGGGCACGATGACTTTGGTTATAATTAAGTGAGAGTGATGAAACTCCAAGTATAGATTCATTATATCATTACCTTGACTAAGTTCGATGATAAGAATTTTCTGCTTAGGCTAAGGAGCAATAAGCAATTTGATTGGTCAAGACTTTGGAACATAAAATCTCTGCTTTTAATTGAGGTAGAATGTACACATTTAAACTTGATATTGATGTTCATTAGGTGAATGTCTTGACTGAGTACAATGATTAACATTTCGAGCTAAAGCTAAGCAGGGCTAAGCTATTTCATTGGTCAATGCTTTAGGACAAGATAACTTCGATTCTGTCTGATAGAGAGTGATGAAACTTAGTGTATAGTTGATAATCAGTTTAATTGATTGATACTTTTGAAAAAAATAAATGTGCGATAAATTAATATGTGTCATTTTTTTATTTTGGGATTTCGGCGGGAGACATCAGCCTCCCTTTTGGCTTGTTCTCCATTAAATGGAGGAATACGCAGGTGATAAGTAATTCCTCCAACCATCTTTTCTTTTGACAGATGGCTTTTTTGTACTTTCCTGGTATGTGTTTGTATGTATTGTGCTGACAAACAAGGCAAGTATTTTTTATGTTAGTAGCTTTGATCTTATATTTAGTTGTTGCTAAATATAATAATAATAATTTATTCATTTATTCAGCGCAACAAAAAAACCCCAATGCTTGCTTTAATGCATTGTTTAGCTCATAACTGCTCATATCATGTAGCTGCTAGTAGGCATATGTTTCATTGACTGGCAACCTATTATAGCTTCAATGCTGGTATAGGGCATATGATCAGTGGTGCTGTGTGTACAAATACAAATGTAAGTAAGCTTATACCTCAGACAATAAGCTGCTATTATGCTTGTATATGTTGACATCCAATACTGCCAATGTAAATCACTGCCCGCACCTAACACAAACAACAAATTTCAACATGCATGTTGTCAACTATTTATAGGCCTATAAAGGTAATTCTAATTCCAACATGATAAGAAATACTGTGTATAAACATAGAACTAAAACATAATGTTTGGATAAAGTCTCATTATCATCCTTAAACTAATTTTAGAATACTTGTCTTTTTTATGTAGAATAATTTTTTTTAAAGAATGTGAATATAAAGAAAAGTATTTTAATCTAGCAAATAAAAGTAAGAAAAGAAATGAGAATTTAAAGCTGTGAACTTTAGCTGCAAGGTTTCGTCATTTAATTGGAAAGTCGAGTTATTATTCTAGCATTGCTTGCAATAGACTTTCATATAAGGGTGTTTCTTTTCTTCTCAAGTATCACAATTAGTTTGTAGCCTGAAAATATTTCCAGGGTAATCTTGCCCATGGGCAATGGAAGATGTGGACTCAAAATAGTTGTGACTTTGATATAACACTCTGCCAAATCGTGTGATGCACATTCTACGTGTAATATTGGTTATATCAAGCCTTCATTTACTGCTTAAAGATCTATGTTCAAATGGAAATACCTGACTGAGTCTCAGTGCCAATATATCGTCTGCTTTCCTGATATCCTACTTCCGTTAATGGTATTATGTGGATACATGAAGTCTCTCTAATGACAAGAATTGAAAGAAGCGTGGAACTATTTGTTAGTCTAGGATTTAACTGTTTTATTTCTGTGTAATCATTAATGGTGAGTATTTAATCCATAGGAACTTTTTGTCATTTAGGTGAGCTCTTAAGATCAGTTTTTCTTCAAAAAAAAGATTCACAAGAATATATCCATGAATTTGTTTTTACATTTTCTTTTTCGTAAGAATAGCTGAAACAATTTCAACCAAATCTTGTGGGCATTGGCTATTTTGATCATATGAAGAAACTTACACCATTGGCAGGGCAGGGCAAGGTAATGGCTCTTGAAAATGTGAAAATTTACCAGTACTCTTATCCGCTAATTGTTTAAACATAAAGTGTGGTAATTCAGATAATCAGTGTCTTTGAACTGAAAAGGATTTTTATCTTAGCTTTTGTCTGACAGTAAATTACAGTCATTATTTTAATAAGTTTTAATATCATGAATTCACATATTCTTACTTTGAAATCTTGAAAGCCTCTGAACAGTTACGAGCAGGGGTTTAGGAGTATATTTGTTTAAATTTCATTTTGTTTTAGTGGTTGTTTAATTGTTTTGCTGGAATTGCGAAGTAACTCTATGTATTAAAGAGTGTTGCCAGAGGCAGTGGCTTCAGTTTTCAAGATTTTTGGATTTTGCAAAATGCAGCTTTAATTTTGCCAATTGCAGCAGTTATGCTGGCATGCCATCCAAGGGTTGATAGTTGTACTTTGCTATATCTCATTTGCTTGACATGTTCTAGTGGCAAATTCCACAATCTACATGTATTACATAGATTTGTCATTTTGTTTTTCATAGTACTATGTTTAATTATACTTTAATATTTGGGATAAATGTTACTATATTTCAAATAACTTCAATCTTTGGGATAGAATCTTAAGGATACATGGAACTATATTTCATTATACATCAATCTTTAAGAAAGATGGTACTATATTTCATTATGTTTTTCATATGCGCTATGAGCATAATTAAGACAGCTAAAACTAGCTTTTGTTCTACTGTTGTATTTCCAGATTAGTTGAATATTATCAAAAAATAGAGAAAATCCACATTAAAAAATCATAAGTAGAAAATCTGAAGTAGAAAGTCAAAAGTTAACAGTAGAAAGAAGAATGTTGAAAGTCAAAAGTTGATGGTAGAAAATATAAATTCTGTCCATGAAAGTAGAATCCTGACATTTTAAAGTTTAAAAAATTTATGTTTTTGGAGATTAAATGCCTAAGGTTATAGGTTGGAACCACAATAATACCCTTTTAGCTCATAATTTTCTCTTTTTGGTAAGAATTTTTCTTTTTACTTTTGCTTTTCTTCTTTTTTACTCTAGATCACATTTTCCACCCAATACCCCACCATAAAATGGTACTTATATTTCATTATACTTCAATCTTTAGAATAGAGGGTACTATATCTTATTATTCTTCAATCATTAGGATGCATAGCACTATATTTCATTATAAATTCAAGCATTAGGATCGGTACTATATTTTATTATAATTATAATTCATTAGGATATAGTACTATATACATGTGACACTTGCTGGCATAATGAGTCACATTGAGGAAATTTTAAAAATTGAGCTATTATAATTTATCATATTCTTCATCTTAATACCCTCAAAATGGCGTATGTTTTGTTTGAATCAGCCAAAAATCGACTGAGCTGTGTCTGTTTAAAGCTGACTAAGTCAAGGAAATAAGTTTTGAGAAAAGCAAGTTAAAGATGTCATTATGTTCCCAAACAAAATCACATAGCAACCATGTCATTTATTTGCTATTGTATCATTTTTGTTGTATCATTTATGTATTAACTATTGGCTGATGAAGGGCGAATAGCCCGAAACATGTTCCTGAACTAGAATACAGTTTTAAAAATTCTACACAGTGTTTTCAAGTTTGTTGCCAGGGATATTCTTTTTTGATATTTTTCACGGATCGGTTCCTGCTCATCCCCGGATGTATCACTGAGATCCAGACTTGCCTTCGCTGTTTCAGGGAATCTTCCGCCCTCCTTTTTTCGAGCGTGGGGTTTTTATCGTCCTTCTCTTGGATTATATTTGCTATTTTGTCGATTAATATATCTTTCTATAGGTTTTCAGGGGTGCTGAAGATGATATTCGTAGTAAAAATTTGATTCGACAATTTCCGCCATATTTTTTATATAAAATAATGTTTATATATTTTGTCCGCTAACCGGTATATTTCTCTCACGCAATTAATACACTATTTTTGTAACAAAACATTCACATATTCTCATTTTCTAGCGAGTGTTACAATTTAGAACAAATAAGAATACTCCATACATTAGTAATCTGTGTTTTGTATAATATACTCTTCAAAAAAAAGTAGGGGATATTGAAATGCAAATACCTATTCAGGTTGTGATATGATAAATAGTCATGGACACTTGACATGCTTTGAGGGTATGTTCACAGATGAAGAACTTATCGCCCCAACAGAACCACTGAGCTGCACATGCGACACGCAATAGCGCCATAATCGTGGGAGGGGTTCATTGTCAAATTTGACACGTCAAGGAAGGGTTGATGAAAACTGCTGTGTGCTGGTTTATCTATCCATGTTTGCTTTCCTTTTGGTTGTTGCATAAGATTTACTGTTTAGCATATCATTGCTTTAGTGTGTTATGTTTAATTTGATCGGGAGACGTGTTCATCGACGTTAACGTCAACCGACAACACTGCAGATTGCCCCAAATCGTGATTGGACAGTTGATAAGGAGCAAAATCAAAAATGTCCATTTTCACTTTTGACGGTGTATCTCTTTGCGAGTGAAAGGGGGCCGTCAGATATGGCGCCCATATGAACTGTTTATGTTCATGCGTTATTAACATACACTAGTTACAGCAAATAAAAACAGCAGTGTATTTCCGCAGTTTTGTATTGTTTCAGAATATCCCCTACTTTTTTTGAAGAGTATATAACTTTGGTGAGAATAACTTCTGTTAATCTCATCAATTAATTAGCACCTTGGTCAGGAGATTAAGATTGTTTATTGGGTAATCAAGTTTAGTTTCTTGCTCATTAATTTAGCCGACATAGCTATATGTGTGCCCTGTTATCTTCGTCACACGACAAAATTAAAATAAAGTTTTGCGTGTATAATAGGTATTTTGTTATTTAAACAATATCCATGTATATTTTACATGCCGTATAATGCCACAGTAAACGGAATTTAACTATCAAAATTTGATTTTTTTTTAAAAGGCAAATCGAAATATCAAATAAACACCACTTGGATTAATTGTTCAGAGTCAATAATGACTCAGGGAAGGCTTCATATATATTACTGGCAATTATCAATCAACGAAGTGTTAATCTATGACAATTGATTAGTATTACTCAATTAATCAGAAGTACCCCAAAACATTATTGCAAAAATCAAATTTTTATCGCCACTTTCATTTTTTTTAACGTGAGCCCTGGACCCAGCCATGTTACCACAATGCACACCATGGGATATCTTAACCAATCAGCGAATGAGTTGCTATGGATTAAAAGCAACAAGCTGAGTTTACGTAATGTACAGGTTTAAAAACTCATTTGAATTCGTTGAACATTTGGTCATCAGTAATACTTTGGTCATATTTATAAACTAGAGATTCATCTCTTCACAGCAATGCCAAGCATTAATTAGGGGGATTGACTTGTCGTCCCGCTGCCAGTGAAGAAAGATAACTAATTTCGCTGAGAATATTAAGAGAAAAGAAAGATTTATGAAACAGTACTCTAACAAAATGTCAAAATAAAGGTGTTTTAAAATGTTTTGGTTGATAGACAGTATATTTTTGTGAAAATCTCAATTACGATCAAAATCAATATTTTCACTTGTTTTGTCTGTAGCTCAATATTAGACTTTGCGCATTCAGACTCATTTTGTACTCCAGTCTTGAGGGTAGATGGTAGGCCCTACTATATTGTATTATACTCCAGTCTTCAGAATTCAACAGACTGTCGATATGCCATGTTGGAAAGTAACAATGAAAAGGAAAGGAAAGTCAGAGCAGCCTAAAATTTCATCCAAAACCTTTTATTCTCCTCCTGGTAAAAGCCATGCCCTACGTCATGCAGAAAAAAAAAAAAAAAACTGTACAAGGGATCAGGACTGCATTCACTATAATACGTGCAGACGTTGGTTTCATTCCACATGTGCACATATTGAAGACTTACTTCCAGCCTGGGGAAAGGCAGGTTATTTATGTGTGGACTTGAGTGATGACTTTACTTTCAACTATGGTGGATCAATACTTAAATAAGTACCGGTAGATTACTAGTTTCATTTGAAACTTTAACTCTTGTAATCCCCGAGTGAAAGTTTCAGATGTTAGCCATAAAATTTAGCTGGATTAAATCAGTACAATGCTGGTGGAGCATGCTCGCAAAAGGGTCTGTGGATAAACTTAAGTGGTTATCTCACCGCCTGCTATTGAGAGACCATTTAGAACCATGAAAGTGTCAAAGTCTTATAGAGCAGTCAAGATAAGACATATATGACCGATTCCACATTGATAGCGGGCTCAGTTGTGGAAATATGGACTTTTAAAGTTACCCTACTCAACCCGATTTCAATTATGGATGCAATATTCAGGCGAACTGATCAACTTTTAAAATCAGCTTTGGCCTTTGTGCACTAGATTATATTCAATCAGCTTATACCTCAAATTATTTATTTTCTAATTTTGCCTGAAAGTGATGTCACAAAATACAATCAATGGTGGACTGGAACACATACAACAATTGGTGGAATGTGCCACAGACCATCATTGTGATGTTTTATAACTAGTTCATAAAGAAAATGCAGTGCCGAATGGTGTAAATGGGAGAAATTGTTGTCTGCAAAACCCCTAATCCATGACCAAGCTAGAGTGCCCCACAATTTTTATAAGGGGCCTAGCCTGATCCTGTCACCCAACTAAACAGTGCCCTGCAAGTCTTATGCAGGACCTATTGTGATCCATGACCAACCTAGATTGTCCCACTATATATATGTGTTGGCTAGCGTGACTCATTACCCACCTAAAATGTCCACCATTTCATGCGTG